CACGCTCAGGAGGACGTGCAGAAGCCACAGGGGGGTCCATGGTTGGACTCCATCATCTTAAAGTGGAGCAAAGTGGATCTCTGAGTCTAAGGCAGGACTGTTTCTCCTGCTGAGGGCTTTTCTGAGGCCCTTCTTAGCACCAAGTGCCACAGACAGACACCCCAGGACTCCTTCCAGAGAACTCTAACTCCTCACAGAGAGCAGCTGTTCCAGCAGGCTGCACTGGTCCCAGTGCCCAGCCCCCTCCCCAGAGCCACCCTCCTGCTGGGCATCAGGCTCAGACATCTCCAGAGGCTGTAACCTTACCAGGCATCTAAATCTTGTCTCTTCAATTTATGCCTCTCAAAGCTCTTCCCAACATCCTTCTGGCAACGAATGTACCTGAGGAAAGACCAGAGTCCCTGAGCTCACGTGGAGATGGTCACACAGGCTGAGGCTGAAGCTCTACAGCAGGTCCACGGGGTGCTGAGGACCCTTCTGCAATGCTGGAACAAAACAACACCCACAGGCCTGCCCTGTGCAGCCCCCAGATCACCTCCCCTGTCACCACCAGCACTGTGCACAGCTCACAACAGCACAGGGGCTGGAGCATCTCTGTGCCAGGCCAGGCTGAGAGCCCTGGGGCTGCTGAGCTGGAGCAGAGAAGCCTCAGAGGGGATCTGAGCAGTGCTGAGCAAGAGCTAAAGGGCCCCGGGGGGCAAGAGGCTGGGGCCAGACTCTGCTCAGTGGTGCCCAGGGACAGGACAAGGGGCAACGGGCACCAACTGGAACCCAGGAGGTGCCACCTGAGCAGGAGGAGAAACTTCTTTGGGGTGAGGGTGGCCGAGCCTGGAGCAGCTGCCCAGAGAGGCTGTGGAGTCTCCAAACTGGAGAGATCCCAAACTGGGCTGGACGGGATCCTGGGCACCCTGCTGTGGGTGAGCTGCTGGAGCAGGGGGGGGATGAGATGATCCCACCATGCTGGGATTCTGTGAAGTGTTTTGAAGCCCACCAGCCCTGACACTGGCCCCGAAGGTGCCGTGGGACCTCCTGGCAGCCTGGCTGGTGGTCCTTCCACAGCTGACTGGGCCCCACCCAGCAGAGCCCCCAGCACTCCCAGCCTGGTGGCGACGGGACCCTCCACCCCCAGCAGCAGCCACGAGCACATCTGGAGCAGCAGGGGCCAAGCCTGTTCCATCACCTCCCCCCCTCCCACCAGGCCTGTTCCAAGGCTGGGCTCTGCTCCCACCACGTGCCCACCCCAGCAGTGAGGCCAAACCCCACCCCTCACCTGTTTCCCTTTTTAAACTCTGCCTCCAGGTACCGGATGCTGTCCCGAGCACCCGCGTTCTCCTTTTTCAGGAAGTCCAAGCCATCAATCACTAACAGGGGGAAAACACCAACAGAACAACAGGAAAACCATCTGGCTTACAGCTCTGCTGCTGCCAAGGGATGCAGATGTGTCAGGGACCCCCCACCCCAGGGCAGCAGTGGCTGGTGCAGCAGGGAGACCGAGGCCTCTCCTTCTCCAGCTGCCTTTCCACACGTCAAACAGGCCCCAGAGTGAGGGGGGGTGGGCTCAGGAGCCCCCTACCTGTGCGAGGGATGATGATGATGAACCTCCCACTGGTGGCCAGCTGCTTGACCACTGCCAGGTGCTGGCACAGGGCCTGGGTGTCCGGGACGAGGTACGGGGACATGGCCGACTGCGCCTTGGGCTGCTGCAGACTCCCCTCCAGCTGGGACACCTCCAGCTGCAGGCACAGGGGCAGCACGCTGGCTTGGCAGGGGCAGGGCCCACCCTGCAGAGCCCCCTCGGGTCCCCCCAGCCCCCCCGGGGGTGGGGCAGAGGGCTG